TGCCTTACTGTCTTGAAAACTATCTCATTCAGCACAAAATTTGATAACAATGTGTGCTGCATGCTGGACGTCCAAAAGCAAATTTACACTTTCTTTAAAGCACATAGCCTTTTTCTGCAGTCACACTGAGAAATGAAATAAAAATATGACAGATAAAAAAAGAATTTCTTTAAAACGAAATACTTTTTTTGCAAATGAAACTTAATTTCTTTTATTCATTTTTTGATATAAAAATCTACTTTGATTTAAAACTAATAACAATAAAACAAAGGTCATGCATTTTTTAATTAGTGAAAGTCCTTGAGGATACTGCTTTACATTGTAGTTGAATAATTAAGAGACTTAAAACTGCTTCGCTATAACTATAAAAATAATCTATTTTGGTCTTTGACTAAAGAACAGCTCCCTCATTTTTCAATATTGAAACAAACATATGATTAGTCTTAGCCATTTGCATTATAAATAGCTTTTCAGAAACTTCACACGGATTTTTTTTGTTTCCACAAAAACAAATTAAATAAATGAAAATATAAATAAATAAATAAATAAATACATAAAATTTTCATAAATACATACATAAAATTTTCAGTTTTATCTTCGATACATAATAGCTAATCATTTAGCAAGAAAGCAGGAAAGCTTATTTTTGACTTAATATACAACTAAAATACAGTCAAAAGTCGTTGATTCGGACACCCATAATCCGGAATGATCTATAATCCAGACCTCAAAGCTAAAAACTTTCTGGGCATGCGGCGCGTTGATGCATGCGCATAGGGGTTTACGCGTGCGTGTAAGACATTTACGACTGCGCATATGCGTGTGCGCAAGCGCAGAATACGTTTTCGCATGCGAGCTTTATGTATAACGGGACGGTATAAGCTAAAATTATCCAATTATCTATTTCAGTTAATGTTGATGATTGCGTTGTTCCTTAATCTTCGAGTTGGATCCGGCTTATTATTTTTTGCAGACTGTAAGAGCAATTTTATAAAAGTAAACTTGAACTTTCGATTATGTCAAATAGAATTTCCGATGCTGGAGCTCCCAAAGGATCTACAAAACGAAAGTATGTTTCGATGTCCAAAGTGAAAACAAAGAGTGGAATTGCTGCAAAAAATGGATAAAGACATGAAGAAGGTGACAGAGAGGTTAGTGAAAACGAAAATATTTCGATTGACAAGTTAGTCGGTATTCTCGGCACAGCAATTACAGGACTTGAACAGCAGAACTTTGTAACTGAACAAGAAATTATGTCTGTTTACAGAAAGTATTATCACATAAAATGAAGCAACTTAAACAACTTACATTGAAAGAAATGTTTAATAAAGTAAACAAATATTAAACTTTTTTTTGTAAATTTTGATACCCTTTAGATCATAATTGTTCTTTATTTCATAAATTACGGTTTCATATTTTTTATTTTAGAATTTCTGCATGCCATCTTACGAGATTTAAACTGATGATCTATAATCCGGAAAAATCGATATTCCGGAATCGCCGAAGCCCCGAAGAGTCCGGATTAACGCCTTTTGACTGTAGTAAAATATATGATCAGACATAACGGGTGGCCATAATTAAACTGACAGTGCTCACAGTGTTCTGTAGTGTGATTTTGCTGTGAACCCACACCAAACAGTTAGTTACCTTTGGTGAATGTAAGGGATTGCTGTGACTGCATGTGGTGATTTATCATCCCAAATTCGGCAGTTCTGAGTATTCACAGTTCCCTTCAGGTAAAAGTGGGCCTCGTCTCCCAATAAGATTTTCCATGGCCAAGCATCATCCATCTCCATTCTGGCAAGAAAGGTGAGAGCAAAAGTCAATCGCTTATCATGGTCGGGATACAGTAACTCCCGTACACGGCTGATCTTGTACGGATAGAAGTTGATAATCTTTCGTAAGATTTTCCATACCGTACTGTAAGGCATATCCATATTTTATAAGACATATCCATAAATAAAAGGTAATTTTATTCCGTATTAATTTGTATTTGTTAACACTCTATTTTGTATTACACAGCGCCAAATATTCCCCTAGCGGTGACTTTTGGAACTAATTTTTTTTTTTTGCGGAATCCTTCGTCCCGTCTTGTTTAATCTTCCTACAAAATGTGGTGTCATTCTCGCAAATAGATCGCGCTACAGAACACTGTGAGCACTGTCAGTTTAATTATGGCCACCCGGTATTTTTGACACACCAAAAATCAGACTCAAATACTCCATTTATTATAACTGCATTCATAAATATATTTTATATTGATGAAAACAATATATCCTTTTATTCAGCATGGGCTTTTATCAATGTGGTCTTATTTCAGTTTGGGCTCATATCGGCATGGGTTTTTCTCTTGCACAAAATATTTTTCTATTTTTTTCATATATTTTACACTGTTACCATAAATCAGAAGTTTCTAAATCATATACCACTAAAACTAGGGAGAAAGTAATCGAGGAGGAGAAATATGCAAGTTTATATATATTGCATAATTGTTATTAACTGTAATAACCAAGTCTAGCTGAGCAATTTCAATTTAAGCTTACACCTACTAAGTGGTTATGGATGTGCATGAAAATAGCAATGAATCACAATATCCTTGGGTCACAGCTAATGTTGGTTCTATCTTACGAAAATTCTGAAGAAAAAGAATGAAACTAATCCTCTTTCTCAGAACTAATACAAAATAAATATTCACCCGCAAATTTTTTCCTTAAAATTTATATTTAGAATGTAAACAATGTCTAATGTTCAAAGCAGTTCTTATTTTCGAGTAAATACATTATATGCATGTGCTTCATTAAATAAGATTTATATACTAAATTGTGCATATATATTTTTAATGCAGTACCTACTGTCCTGTAATATAGTTTTAAATTTAGAAAAGGATTGCTTAACTTCAATGGCATTTATTAATTCTAGCAGATAATCAGTTGTGATGCTACATAACAAAGAATACAACTTCAGAAACTTTGACCCAAAAATCTTGAAGGGCAACTAACTGTTTATTTAGCATTCTGGTTTGGGTTTTAAGGGCAGGACAATACATTTTTCACATAATTTCTCATGGAAAATAGTATTAAAAGAATGGTAATCTAACAAACAGACAGAAATCAGAAAATAATGGGAAAAGTCCAAAATTTGTAGATTTATATTATAGTCATGGGGGAAAAAAAAGGAAATTTATGGATCCATTTTTTTGGTAGAGAAACGTAATATTCAAGAAATCTCAGAAAGTTCCAGATATGTCATATCATGATAAAATCACTAACCTAAGAATAATTGACTCATTAAGTGAAATTTAGGTTAAAAATACTATCTTATAAGCGTGAAACCTAGTATAACTAAATAATGAAGCACAAAGCTCAGTAATTATATAAATGCATATTTCTTAAAATATATGAATTTACGTGAAGCTGGAGTACTAATAGAATATTACAAATTTCCTTACTTAAATCAAAGAAGTTTTACTGACATATGCAGCAGAACATACTGTTTTCTTAAAACTATGCAATGGAACATTGTTTTCTTATAACTATATCAAAACCTTTATTTTGGTCAAACCTTCAAATAAGCACAAACACTCAGCCTTACTTAATGCAACAAAATTAAGGTATTTATGTGTTAGTGCAACCATCATGGTGCAGTTTGGAGACATTTTACAGAGATAAAATTATATGACTTACAATTAAAAAAACTATTTAAAAACACTGCATATATTATTACATACATATTTTAAGTTTATTAAGGATTTTATCCTGAATATCAATCAATCAGTAAGCTTACTTGCAAACAGAGTTTGTTTCTTTTGGTAAAATGAAAATTTCATGGTGACTGCCAGTACTGATTCTAGACCATCAGCCACCCACGCGCAAATTAAAGCCAGCTGCCCTTTTTTACAGAAATTCAATATGTTTGACAATCGTTATGCCACCCTAAAATTTGGCTGGCCACATGCACTATTTTCCTACATTTATAAAATTTATATAAAATTCCTATATTTTTATAAATGGTGTAATGTAATAAAATTGTCCTAGCCTGAATTTCAATCTTAATGGATTCCTTTCTTAGTACCTACATATCATACTGTCAGCCAAAGAATAGTTGCCAAGCATTGCAGTTTAGTGCCAATTATGAGCAAGCAAGATGTCTGTACTTTCATTTGATGCGATCCCGTTCTATTTTCATTAAGCCATATTTTGTTTCTATGAACACGGATGTATATTCACTGTTGCTGCAGTATTTTTTTCTTGCATTTAAAAAAAAAATTATTAAAATTTGGGCCCTGCCTTCTACAGAACAGCAAGCAGTGTATTTTTTTCAAAGTTATAACACTGTATCATAAAAAAAAGATATGCCTTAATGAACATGATATGATCTGCTGAATATGGCCTACAAAACTGAGACAGATAGAACAATCACCTGCTGGAAGTTTGTACTCACAGCGAAGCGGAAATTCTGGCAAAATCAGACGGTCTAACAAAATAGTAAAAATTGACAAAAGCCTTTTTATGAAATGGGTGAACTCTAATTGTTTACCTTTCAAGGGTTATCAGATTTAAATTATTCTTTCTTCCAAAATATGCACAGTACCTATCAGTCGTTAATACGTAATGCAGGCTGTGTTTGTTCGCACCCAATGCAGTGCATTAACTGGAATATATGCATGCTGAGCTCACGGATAACTATCAAAAAGTTAAATAGGCATCAATTCTTTCAGATTTCTGTAGAAATGATCGGCACAACTTTGGCAGGATCTATGCTAATTTACATGGTTTAGTGGCCAACTTGGAATTTGTTTTTTTATGTAATTTAAATTCACAGTCAAACGGGATAATACATTAAGTATCCTTTTCTTAATATAAATCACTTATATGAACTTACATGATACAAGATATATCTAGTCTTGTAAACATTTCAAAATGTTCTATGTTTCACATATGGCAAAAGTAAAAAAAAAAAAAAAATGACATAAATAAGAATTTATGAAATGCCACAATCACCTCGTATGCTTCAGAAAGTTCCTGGAATTTTGCTTCAGCTTCAGGATCTCCTTTATTTATATCTGGATGACTTTTTTTTGCAAGCTGGAAAAAAATTTTATTTTTAATTTTTTGCAAGCTGAGGAAAAAATAAAAATGAAATTAATAATCTTATGAAACAGTCACAAAAAACTCCAAAAGACTTTATTTATTTAGTCTTTGGTGCATATCTCAGAAATTGCTTCTTACATAACAACAGATAACAGCTGTGATGTAACAGCAGAAGTAAACCTCAAAAATAAAACAGCATTCCAAGTAGAAACCACTAATTTCTCACACTATATGAATAGCAGACAAGTACTAATCTAAAGTGAAATTACTATGAGTGCATTATTTACAAAAGTAGGTAAAACATGACTTCTAAACTGAAGTACAATGTAAATATGATCTAGATAGCCATAAAAATACAATAAACATTTACACACCTACAGCTGCACTTTCCTCACTGGCAGTGGCGGCTCATAGCTAAAATTAGTGGGGGTGCTGTTCCAAAATAATTTAACCTTTGTTTCAAAATTGTGCAAAAGGAAATAAACATGTATAAAAATAACATTTATTTTGAAACTTCATGAAATCTTACAAGAAAAAAAATTAAACATTTTTTAATGACTTTAACCAAAATTGTTACAGTTCAATCTTTGTCTATTCATTTAAAAATGAAATCCATTCTTTTTGTTTTAATTTGAACGAAAAGATCAATAATTTTCTCCTTCATCTCTGGATGACAACCAAGGAAATTTTTCTTTATTGAAAGCAATGCAAGCACATTTAGTCTTTCCGAATTCCTAGTGCTTCTTAGAAAAGTTTTCATTCTTTTCAATGTTGAAAAGCAGCATTCTACCTCTGATGTAGTCATGGGAACCGTCAAGAGAATTTTTAGCAGTTTCGTAATTTCACTAAGAACATCATCTAGATTATTTTCCAGGATAAATTTTAGAAGCTCAATTAATTTGCAGTATTCATGGATATCAAGAATACTTTTAGTTCAGTTTCAAGCTTTTCTTTGTCAATCATTGGATATGCTTCAGTGGTCAGTACTATTTCTTCTGTGGAATGTTCATTCCTAAAACTAGCGAAGCATTTCTTGTTTAACAATTTAGCAGCTGCTAAGTGTTTAGTGGAAGAATATCTGTGCATTATACCATAGTATAAAGTCACATATTTCCTTACCTTCTGCCATCAGTGTCTTTGAAAAATTCTCGCAGTACTTATTTCTAAAATAGCAGTTTTGAAATTTGTTATATATTCGTTAACTTTAAACGCACTAATATCTCTGGATTGCATTTAGTTCTATATTATTTCAACATAAGGCATCTGATAAAAAAGCTCTAACCAAAACTTGAAATTATCATCATTTAGATATTTTATAATTCCTGTTGATTTTGTAATAGGAACAGTTGTTTCATTTCTTGTTGTTGTTCTGCATTTGATATTGATTGAATTTTAGTAAGGCAATTTTTTAAAGGTTGCAAATTTTCATGAACTCTGTTTATGGTCCATATGATGAAGTTCCACCTTGTGGAGGAATACCACATGTGTGGAGTAAAAAGAAATCACATTTTCCAACAACATGCTACAATTTCGGCACTGCAAGAGCAACAGTGCTCTTCTCTCTGCCCAGCTCGCATGCTGCTTTCAGTGTGCGCATGCGCAGAACAGCCAAACACCACGTCGCTGGAACTGTGAAGCGCGCAGTTCTAAACAAAGACTTTCATACCTTTTTCACAAAGTGGGGGATGGCTACTGGCATTAAGTTTAAGGATTATGTATTGTAAAAATATAAAGAAAGAATTAAAGACCAAAGGGCACACTATATAAATATTAAAAATAATAATAAGTGGAAATAAGGGATGCTGCAGTTCCACAGCGCTTGTTACGAGCCGCCACTGCTCACTGGTAACTTTTTTTAGACATTTCTGTACACAGCGACATTTTTTTTTCTTTTTTTCATTTTGCTAATATCTTTCTTACAATGTTCTGGTTTACAATAGTTTTAATCTTGTTAGTGCACTTTTTTAAGGATATTAAACATTTACAGCTACATTGGTTGTGATGTATCCTAACACAAAATAATTTTAAGAATTTTGATATATAATTACACTAAGAATATTTAAAATGCTATGCAAATAAAAGTTAGATGACCAGATTATAACAAAATACACAAGGCTACCTGACTTAAGAAGGGTTTCCATAGCTCTGAACTGCGAGTATTGTTCGTCCCCATAGAACTTGGCATATAATTAAATTTTCCAACCACCACTTTATAATTTATTCTTATATCTTTATTACCGCTAAAAAAAACTCCTTACATACAGTGCACTCAAATACATTCTTAGCTATCCTCTCGCACACCACATCCATACCAATCATGCATCGGCTTCCTTTTGTTTACCCTTGAAACAACTAGTTTTTCCAGTTGTTATGTAACTTCTGCCCAGAAATCTCTCCTCTTCCACAAAGAAAAAGTTCTAGAAAGAATTTTCGCTTACAGGGAACTTTACAGCTGCATTCATGGAAAACTTTCTATAGAAATCTAAGTACCTTCCATGTATATTAGATATGAAAAAAACATCATCTAAACTTCATCCAGGCAGCCTACTTGTAAAGAACTGCACATGAGACAAACTATCAGAGTCCAATCCACTCAACCACCCATGAGTTATTACAACAAAAGAGGAAATAAATTATATAAATAAGATGCAAAATTTTTTTTATCAGAATGGGAGAGTTAGATATTTAAATTAACTAAATCCTATGAAGCTGTGTTTCTGATAGTGAAAGTAAACAGCAGTAATATGCATGACATCAAATTAAACCTAAGCTACTCTAGATTATTCTATAAAGAACAGGAAATTTCTAACTATTTTCCACCCTCCCCCATCTCTCATAACCATGGAGCTCAAGACTAGCATATCCACTACTCTTGGGTGATCATGATTATAGACAATCGTGCTGATGATAGTTTCGATTTCAGTACCCAATCATGATATTGATAATGAAAAATTTATGAGATGCCAAATTTCTGAAATTCTCTGTTTAAGCAAAAACAGGTCACTGTGTACATGGGTAGAATAACAGCATGGGCAATGTCAAGTTTGTGCACAATGCCAAATTTGTGCATTTCTCTGATGTTTCTTTAAGTGAAAAAAGATCCACTATCATGGGGATAACAACAGTTCAAAAATATTAAATGGAGGATTTCATGAAAACGATATTTTATTACACACTTTTCTTTTTTTTTTTTTTTTTTTTTTTTTTTATTTTATTGACTGATTGCTCTTTTATGGAATTCTTATTTCACAGCCATTTTCAAAATGGCTGCTGCCTTTCATGTACTGGCTTAGCAAAAAATTACTTGGCAACTAGGGAGATATGCAGACAATCAGAATGTGCCCTCGTCTTTTCAAAAAATGCTTCTGCAAAGCATTTTTTTCCCCTTCTCTCTACATATAGCACGATCTGTTTTCACTTAAAAAAAGCATCACAGAATTGCACAAAGTCAATATTCATATAACTTTAGCACTGCACACAGGCCAAAACAAACATATGCTATGCATAAACCTGAGCTGCCACATTTTTGGTGCAACAAAACTAAATAGTGTGTTTTTAAGGTAAGGGCCGTTTTGTTGTTTACTATAATATGTGTTGCGCTGGTGGCAACAGGTGCTTGTGCCGTGTCCCAGCATTCCTTGAAAACAACTCTGCTCAGTTGCAGCTCTGTAGGTATCCAGTATGATCTGTTCTATGTCTTTAAAATGTTGAAGATTATCGAATCGCCTGCCCCGTGCAAGGTACGGTCAGAGATATGGATTTGGGTACTTACGTATTAACGCAACCAGGCCAAAATTCGCATAAATCGCCAAATTTCGCTACCCTACTTACGGCAACCCTACGTGTTATACGTAGTTTTGTAAAAAGAAAAAATAACACTGGGCGTGTACTACCACAGCAATGGTTTTCGGCGGAATTTGCCGAGAAAAGAAAGAGACTTTTTTGGTTACTGTACCTAACAGAAGCACCGTTACCCTCATGGATAAAATTTGAGAAAATATCAAGGAAGGATGCATCATTTATTCGGATTGCTGGAAAGGATACAATAAGTGAGTTCGAAAATGCTGGATTTCTGCATGGAACTGTTAATCACAAAATATAACTTTGTGGATCCAACACGGGCGTTCACACACAACATGTAGAGCGCACATGGGCTCAGCCAAATGGCCAACAAAAACAGAGAGGAACAGCTCGTCATCATCTTGACTCATACCTTATCAAATTTATATGGCGCCAAGCTCAAGCTGTTAATGGCGAAGACGGTTTTCAATCAGTGCTAAAAGCAATAGCCAAAAGATTTCCGCCGAAAAAATATTCGGCAACTTATTCAAATTCGAAACCGAAAGGGTTAATTGCTATTTTATATTTTAAAACAAAATAATATAAAAAACTGTATTAAAAATTATCTGTAATTAATAAATGTAAATTTTCTTTCTATTCATACATTTTTACTCAAACTTACAAATCGCGCCAACCTGGTTGCGATAATACGTAAGTACCTGGGTTTGGTGGTAAGAAACTTGTCTATTGCAGACATTCACAGGCAGATTTGTGGAGTTTACGGTGCTACTGCCTTGAATAAAGAAAAAGTGCGTAAGTGGGTCAGAGATTTCAACACTGGCCGTGACAGCGTCCATCATGAGTCCCACTCTGGTTGCCCCTCTGTGATCACAGATGATATGGTGACTTCAGTTGAAGTAAAAATTCTTGAGAACAGACGCTTCACCAGAACAGACGTTTCTTTCAAACGCATTTCCTGAAGTGTCTAGTCTAAGATGTGAAAACGGCCGTGACCTGTTAGCTATCGGAGCAGGTGGCAAGTTTCTTTGAAGAGGGTATTCAAAATCTAGTTCTAAGGTATGATAAGTGTTTAAGCAAACTTGGCAACTATGCTGAAAAATAGAGAAATGTATGTAGAATCTGCAAATAAATTTGGTTTTTGAAAATTTTCTTTCGTTTGGTTTTTATTCTCAAACGCCCTTACTTAAAAAACGCCCCTCGTATTTTGGCAGCATACCGCT